GCGAAATGAGCCTTCGGGAGACAAAAGTCTGAGTAAATTCCGGAAACAAAGAAGTGATTGTTGTTGTCCTCAACCTGTCGCTGACCACTCTTCAATTACCCGATGTTTGGAAAGACGCAGAGTGGTCCTAATAATGAAACTTAAGGAAACTCGCCAACCAAAGGTAGTATTATCATCCGATTACTCTCCTTTCCCCAGAAGCCTTGCTTCACCAGCCACCTGAGTCCAGCACACCAGCAATATGGCTTTCGTAAAGTTCACTTAATCTTCATGACCAAAATCAAAAACCAACCTGTAAGCAAACGATCCTCGTAACATTGCACCTGTCAAAAGACTCCCAACTTTCTCGCTTCTTCTCTACAAGAAGCTTGACGCTCTTCCCGAGTGAATCCGCAACGATCTTGAACAGACTGGATCTTAACTCTGGCCGTCAATAACTCTAAGATTTTAGACTTCACATTTCCTCCTTTCTCCTCAAACGATCGCGATAACCCCCAAGCGCAAAGCCACAACGATATTTTCACGTCTCTTGCCGTCAGCTCATGTCAAAAGGACAAAGAAACGTTGTTAGCAACATAAGAGGCCGTCCGGTAATAAGCTACGCCGCACCAATCTGGTCGTCGAGATCTAGTGAAACGCAGACTTCAAAACTTGAGACGTGGTAAAACACTGGACTGCGGACTTCTAAATAGTGCCTCTTAATGTTTCCGCGAGAGACTCCTTTCCGAGCAGTTGTTTCTAAGATGTTTTCGCAAAACCGTCCCTGCAGTCGTCTGCTTGAAGCGAAACCGCCTTTAGGAATATCAACATGTCCTTACTTGTTTACATCGACGACATTAAAAAGTACACCGACCAGAGTTCGGACGCAACTAACTTTAGACATGCGCTGACCGACATTCACACTAGAGCCATCAGCACCTTCACCGACTCCCTCTTAGTGCAGTCCAACCACCAGCTATTGCAGACGAAGAGCGCGAGTTGCCCTGAGGATCTGGAGTGACCATTACTCAACTTTTTTCTGGATACTGTAACGGGTTAATCTCTTGCTTATCAGGAATGTCCGCATGACTCTAACCACCTCTATTAATGTCCAGCGAACCACATTCATCTAACAGCCCTCTCTCGATGATCCGACCCTGTCTAAACAGCACCTTACCTTAGCTTCTTACATGACTTCGATGACAACCAATGCGATCCTTAACAGGCAAGCGGGGACTAGAAACCGCTACAAAAACCGTCCCACGCCAATCGGGTGGATGTAACCGGAGCGGACCTGGCTTGTTATCCGGCCAAGGACTGTCAACTCGGTACCTTGCCTCGAAATTTCTTCAGGAATGTTTTATGCCGTCACAACAACACTATATCAAAATCTAGTAATTGTGTGGGAGCTTTTGTATTTGTGAAGGGTATTATAACTTCGACGAAATAGAAGTTAAGGTATTTTTTGTCGAAGAACTAGTCAAAATTTTGAGTTTAACAAAATGGTGGCTTCAAAAAAATGTGATTGTCAAACAATTTGCACTTCCCAGTGATTTAAAAAACGTTCCCACAACAGTCTGGCATACGTAACAGGAACGGATCCCGATTATTATTCGACCAAGGGCTGTCAACTCGGCAGATTTCTGCCGCTACAACAATAACAACAACAACCGCATAAAAAATTCCAATTAGTCTTAACTTTGCGTTTGATAAAAATGGTCTATTACGCCGGTCGACTTGAGTTTTAGGTCCGATTATGATTCAGTTTCTACACACCAAAAATTAGTAAAAAAAAAATTTTTTTTTGAACGGTGTTATTACAAATTTATACACCTGTGTTTATTTCTTATGAAATTAAAATTTTATTGCAGTTATTTAACGGACTACAGCTTAAAAACAAGAAGATTCGTAATAAATTATTACTTGTGTAATATTAAAAATAAATTTCAATTTCATTAAATCTATATACATATGCAGTTACATACATACATCTATTAATATTAAAATTATTTTTTTTTTCATAATTTTAACATATTTAAAATGTAATGTTTGTTTTGCTGTTTTTGCATTTCAAAAGTAATAGTTACGCATTATAAGGTGAATATACACAAAAGTGTTTTCACAGCAATCAGCCTATCTTGGATAATGTGTTGTATTTTATGATTCGTATGCGACACTTATATTTCAGCAATTATTTCATATACAATCATTTCTTTATCATCCTCATCTTCATCATCATCGTCATCACGCAGCAAGTCCTCGTTCAATTCAATAAATTCTGACTCGTCGTCATCTTCATGTTGCGACGTAGAAGCCGTTGAATGTGCTTGGGTTTCTTCCTCAGTCATTTCAACACCAGCATTTGATTGTATGCCATTCGTCTGCTGCGTGTTTTGTTCACGTTTTGCACGCTCCTCGGCAGCGATTAACAATTGGCGCATGTGTAACGGCAAACCGCCTTGATGTCGCTGCACCCTACGCGGATTACCAACAACATTGGTACTAAAAATGGATATTTTATTTATTAGTACTAAAATTAAAAACAAAAAACACAACAAACAACAAACAAATTTATTGCTTGTTTTTTAAAATACCTCGAACGCAGCTCTTCTAATTTGGGCACCGTTACAGCTTCGGCTTTTTTACCCATTGCCTCTTCCTCAGCCAACTCTTGTGCATGCATTTTCTTTTTGTGCGAACGACAATTGGAGCCATTCGAAAAGGTTTTCTCACAAAAATTACACTTGTACGGTCGCATGCCTGTGTGTAGGATTAAGTGATTTTTCAACGCTTTAGTGCGTTTAAATGCTGCGGGACAGAAATCACACTTGTAACGTTTCGCATCCGAATGCACGAGCATGTGCATTTTTAATGTACGTCGTGTGTTCAACTTAAGGCCACACTCCGTGCAGATATATGAGGAGTCATTGTGTGTCTCTAAATGTACCTAGGTTAAAAACGAAAGCCTAAATTAAATGCGAAACTTTACCTCAAACAAATGAAATGTTACCTTTAATCGCGCTTTATTCTTAAAAGCCCTCTGGCACACTTCACATTCGAATGGTGCATCATTGGTATGCACTAATTTGTGTTCAGTTAACGCTGCTAGCGTTCTAAGTGAACGCCCACATTCGTCACAAATGAAAGGTTTCTTGTTTTCATGAAATCCTTGCACGTGTTGACGCATCACGGCCACTTTGGTGAATTTACGTTCACAATATGGACACGGTATATCGAGTTTGTCCTCCAGCGCGAGATGTGAGCGCGCATGTATTTGCAATTGACGTTCTGTGGGATATATTTTATTGCAGGTTTCACATTTGAAATCTGGTATATCTGGTTCCTTGTTATGTTTTTCCATAATATGTTTACGATAGGATGTTGCATTTTTATATTTCTTTTGACATATGCTACACTCATACTTGTAGGATGTGGATGTTTGGGAATTATCATTTGTATCCGTTGACTCAGCTTCGTCTTTTGCACGTTCCGCACTTACTTCATATTTCGGTTGGCGTCCTCGTCGTTTCTTGCGCACCCGACTACTTGAATCAATTTTATTTACTTGCGCTGATTTCTCACCACCACCAACACCATCCTCAGAATCAACATTTTGTTCGATTTCTTCTTCTTGTTCATTAAGATTTTCAGAAATTTCGTCAGTTTTTCTACTTTTCAAATTTTCTTCAAGTTCCTCTCTTTTTGCATTTTGCAACTGCTCAGTTTCATCTTCTTCGTCATCATCTCCTCTTAATTGTCGTAGTAGCTCCTCATCATCAAGCTCCTCTTCTTCCGTTCCCATATTTTCGATAATAAAATGCTCTTCTGTGTCATCTTCGGATTCACCCAACAATGCTCCAAACGATATTATATTGTGGCCATCATTGTCTACATCGTCATCACGCTCAACGTCTTGTCGTTTTCTTTTAATTCCGCGCTTAACAAGTTCAACGGAAAAATTTTCACCCGATTTACGTTCTCTATTTTCCCGTAACTCAAAAAATTCTTCTTTATTATCTTCATCAACCAGTTCGAATTCGTCTTCATCACTTGATTGCTTCTCACTGCTGACTTCCTTTGTAATGTTTCGCTCATGCTTTATAATATGATCAAACTCCATATCCAGTAAACCGTATTGCAGCTTAACTTCATTCAGGTTCATTGTGCTATCCGGGCCAGTGTTTTGTAATGCGCAGAACATGGCCTGTACTTTGTTAACGCGTTCTGTAAATTGCGTCAATGACGATACTAATGTGTGACATTCAATGCAAACATAATTTGATAGTCCATCATTTGGTCTAATCTAAAATTTCAGCAAAAAAATGCAATAAGCATACATGAACAATTTGTTAATAAATGCAAATAGACAGCATACATTAACCCAGAAAAATTTTCCGATTGTTGTAGCCAAACTACTGTCCACCAATTTCCCAGGCTCATTTATTTCTGGAAAAACACACAAATGACTTTCATCATCTTCCTTAGCGCATAATCGACACCAACGTTTCCAAGCCATGTTGTCATTAGCTGGTGAAATGGACTCTTTACGCGCCTCTGCAGCTATTGTCTTAAGTGGTAATTTGGAGGCAAGCATTCTTTAAAGCTTCTCCAACTCTTTATGTTTTAAGCAAATATATTTTAAACGCCAAATATTATGAAAGCAACAATCACAATTTCTCGTTTAATTCAATAAAAATGTTGACACAATTTTTTTATCCTCACAAATCCAAGCTGCAAATGTCAAATGTATAAACGTAGAGTTGCATTTTGAAACTACGTGAAACGAGATGAAATGGAACGCAGTGTATAATTACTGATTCAAAAATCACCAAAATTTCTTCTAAATTTAGACAATTTATAAAAGCCTTTTATGAATATGTGTGATTATAATTTTATAATATGTAGCAATACAAAAATAAAATTAATTTTTATTAATAGTACTTAATATTCAATAATGAAAATTATAAAAATGCAATTATTGCACAGTGTGAACCATATTTATGTGTTTCGATTTAAATTAAATTCCTTAGCATCTGAAGGGTACGATATGGTAAAGAGACTATTTTGTAAACAATAAGAGGAACAATTAGTTTTAATTAGACAATTAAGGCTTTGAAGCATTCTCAACAAGTTGAATGTTGGAAATATGGATTTTGAATGGAGTATCTGGTGTCGATTTTGTGCAAAATCTGATATTAAAAATATCAATATATTTTCAGCTAAGGCAACGAAGAACAATAAAATTAATATGATTTCAGCAATTAATAAATTTTTTAATATTAAGGTAGGTATATCGTATTTAACAAAGTTCAATTGCTGTATAATTTTAATTACCCAACAGTTCAACCACAAAGAAAAGATGCCCCAAGTCGTGTGTGCTGAATGCTTATTAGTGCTTACATCTTTGGTAAAATTTGCTACCCGTGTATGTAAGATACAAGAAATGTATAAGGAAATTCTACAATCAGAAGGTACTGCGGTTGACATTAAGTTCTTATTTGAAAAGTATCAAGTAAATCAAGATGTTTCACAATTGGTTAACAAATTAAGTGAAAATGCTAGTCCCTGTAATTCAGCACCAATCATAAACACGCAAGCATCAACCTTCTCAAATGTAATAGTTTATGAGCCGCACGCCGATGTTTTAGACAGCAACCATAATACAAAATATTACTGCAAAGATCCATTAGATGAAACTTGCGAATGTGAAAGTAGTGGGTCATCAAATATCTTTTCCACCTTTGAGGATGTTGTTGCTGCTACAAAAAAATCGGATGAAATGTCTATAGAAAACACAGACGATAAAAAACTTACAAAAGTGGAATGTTTGAGCAGTGAAAATACACCCGAAAATAATTTAATTTTTCCCGTGAAGGAAAGCCTAAATGAATGTAAATACATTTGTAAGCATTGCCCAAAGCGATTTCAACGCTTCAGTAGCTTTAGATTACATGTAAAGAAAAAGCATGGGCTCATTATACCATTAGAGGACACAACGTTTCCATGTCCTAACTGTGATTTAATATTTCACAGAAAAGGCTTAATGACCCAACACCTAAAATCTGTGCATGCTCATAAGACAGCTCTTATATGCGAGAAGTGCGGAGAAATTATGGGCAGTAAAGACACATTACGTGACCATATGCACACACACTCAAATTATGCTCCTTTCGAGTGTAAAGTGTGTGGTAAATGTTTTAAACAGAAAACTCGCCTAATGGTAATGAATTATAGTTATTATTAAAAAATTGCTTATCATATTATTTTTAGAAACACATGGATATACATGGAGCGAAGCATATTTGTGTTGAGTGTGGCTTACAATTGAGCTCTCGTGCTACACTCTATTCTCATTCATTTGTACATTCTGATGTGATGCCACATAAGTGTGACTATTGTGGACGTGCCTTTAAACGTTCAAAAACATTGAAAAATCACCTTATTCTACACACTGGTCTGAAACCATATTCCTGCGATTTTTGTAATAAGACCTTTTCAAATGGAACTAGTTGTCGTACACACAAAAAACATGTACATCCGTTTGAATTTGCTGTTCAGGAGGCTTCCGGCGAAAAACCCATTAAAGCAAAAAATATACCTACGTTGTCTGTCCTAAAAGCGGTGTAAGTATGTATATACTGTGACTGTTTTATAATTTAGTGATAACTGATATATTTAGTACCCGAACAGCTAAGAATCTTACACCTGTAGCGCCGAAACAGAGTGGAAATTTTTCTTTAGGCAAGAGACCCAAATTAGATCAAAGGCACATTGATATAAGTAAAGAAGTTATTGCAAAGGAGATGACTACAGTCTAACAGAATAAGTGCAATTCAATACAAATCTATAAGATACTATTAACTAATTTTATTAGCAAAATTATATATGCTTATGTACGTGTAAGAATTTAATAATAATAAAAAATATTTCATAAATTTTAACTGAAACTCTTTGAAACATTATAATGTTAATAATAGCATATTTACCATATTTAATAAATTTTGTTACCGCTTCAACCCTTTTAAAACTTTAAATGTAGTGAAAATTATAAGTTTTATATTGAAATCGTAAAAAATTAGATAAGATTATCGATTTTATAGAAAATCGATTGTTATTGCACATCCCCTTTTGTTTTGTAGAAATAGTGAATTTCTATGTGAATAAGCTGCTGACGTATTTTGTAAACAATGGATAAAAACACTAATAAAGATAAACCTCCACTTGAATCCATTTTCATTCCGGCATATCCAATCATTAAGGCGCCGTTCTTACCAACTAAACAACAAATCTTTGTAGAAAGTTTACCTGTAATATGTGAGCCGGACATTGTGATCAAGACAGAAGATGATGATTGTGAAGTTAAAGCTACAAAATGTGAAGACGGAGCTGTTGAAGCATCATCCGCACCACCACCAACAACGACTGCATCCACATTTATGGACTTCGATGATACAAGTAGTAGCAGCAGCAGCGATGACTTCGATGCAGTTGACAATAATTACTTCGATGACGAAAAGTATACAAATAAAACCAGAACCTCAGAAAAGAAAAGCATTGATTCAAATAAGTCTGTCAAGAAGGCAGATGGAACGGAATATGTAGTTACCTGTAAAATATGCACAATGGGATTTCAGCGTGTGAGCAATTATAAAACACATATGAAAAAAAAGCATAAAATTGAATTAGATGAAGGCACAAAGAGAAAAAAGAATAAGCGTTTGTCGACAGCGGAAAGACGTATGCTGGAACCTAAAATTACGTGTAACATCTGTTCAATGGGTTTTCAACGTAGCAGCAATTATACCAGTCACATGAGGAAAATACATAAAATTGTTGGTGATGCAACGCCGTTTAGTTGTCCAAATTGTCCACGTAAATATGAATTTGAATACGAGTTGAAGCGACACATGAAAAAATATATACCTTTGGATGAAAGGCTCATTTTTCCGTGTCCCCAATGTGATCGGAAATTCCAAACAAAAGTTCATGTGACACGGCACATCCAATTTGTTCACGACAATTCGCGTCCATTTATTTGCGAAGAATGTGGCGAAGCTGTGCACACTCGGACCATTTTACGCGAACATATGCTCACACATACAGACTATTCACCATTTGAATGCAAAGTATGCGGAAAGAGCTTTAAACGGAAGCAACGACTAAAGGTATTCTTAACTTTTCTCCCGTTTAGTTATTGTTGTTCAAAATTTATTGTCATTTATAGAGACATATGGAAATTCATGGAGAAAAGCATATTTGTACAGTATGTGGCAAGGAGTTAAGTTCTCGATGTACACTTAATAAGCATTTACTAGTGCATACGGAAGATAAGGCTCATAAGTGTGAATATTGTGGGCGAGCCTTCAAGCTTATTAAAACTTTAAAAGTGCATTTAAATATACACACCGGTGAAAAGAGATATGAATGCAATTTCTGTGACAAAGTGTTCTCGGCTCCATCTACTCGTCGTCAACACAAAAAGAAAAAGCATCCCGAGAAGCTACTTGAACTAGAAATGTTAAAAGCAGGCAAACATATTAAAAGCGATGCGGGTAGTGAGGATAACTCATTGTAAGTTAAATTATATGTATATTATAATATATTATTTCCAATTCTTATTTCTGTGTGCAGAACGGACAATGCAAATGAAAATCCAAGTACTGAGGCGATGGATTTTTCATCAAGCATGAATCAAGCAACCACCAGCTCGGCTACGTATTTTAAAAATCCCGCAACTATGAGAGGTAAAAATATTGTGTAGTGATATTTGATAATAAAGATATATTTTTCATGTTCATTGTTTTATATTTTTTTCCGTAGATTATCCTCTGCCAGACTTCAGAATGTTGGATTTTGTTGGTAGAATGATGTTGGAGTAACACAAACTTATCGACTATTGAAATCGATAACATTGAGACAGTTGTCGAAAAAGCTTTAATGTTCAGTGAATGTAAGCTATCCGAAAGCCATCGAAGATCGCTGACATAATTTCATTGAAACATAATTGCATATGTGCATGTAAAATTTTGTTTTTAATTTATATTTAAATAAACTAGACTCAATTTTAGAAATGAGTTTTATGTTCGAAGTTCATCCATAAATTGAGCCCCATTTAACACACTCTTAATTCCAATGGGTCTATAATGGGATAGAAGACAAATTTATAAATCCCAAAAGTGTTTCACAACTTTCACGCTTGAAGGCGACTGATTTTAAAAGTGAGTGCTTATTTAGGGTCATCTGTCATTTATGTGATGGTTAAAAAAATTTCTTTAGCGAAAGAGTCTTGCCTTGGTCCTCAAACCCAATAGTGCATCTAAGCTATAATTTATCGATATATACGTATCGACCAATCCCTTACATATCTAAAAGGTTAATAAAATATTTGTTACAAATTACAGGAAAGCACTAACTTACCAGTGTGTATACATAATTAATATTCATAAGCAAAGACCATTATTCCAAAACCAAATAAACGTCACTGAGAATAATAAAGTGAACTAAATATCTATATTTAATATTGACATACTTCAGAAAAAGAGGGAAGCCATACATATATGTGTTGTAAATTGAAGATTATCACTAATAACAACGGCAAGAAATATAACACTTAAAAAATGTCGGTTATTGAATTGAATAAAAAATATCCCTTGGTTCTGGAAGAAAGCAATACTTTCTTTGAGGAATGGAAACGTTGGTGTCGGCTCTGTGCAAAAGCTGAAGTGCAGTGTATTAATGCTTTAACAGGACACTATACGCAATCCACACTCGCAAGTGACAATTACAATTCGTTAAACATACTTGCTGCTATAGATGAATTCTTTCACGTTCAGGTAAATGTGATTGAATAACAAAAAAATTTGTAAACTTAAACATAATTTAAAATTTTTTTTAGATTAAGGAAGATGAGAAGCTCTCACCTTTTGTTTGTACTGAGTGTTTCGATGTGGTAACATCATTTGTTAAATTTAATGATAACGTTAAAAAGGTTCAGCAATTGTACCATGAACTTTTGCATAGCGATGATAAGACCAAACTCAATTTGCCAGCTTTATATGCTAGATATGGTCTATGCAGAGAAGAGACTATTTTGACACAAACCAGTAGTAGCAAATTGCCAGTGGAAGAAATTTTCATTGCTGATTCGCCCGTGCCAAAGTGTGCAAATTTATCGGTTCAAATAAAAAATGAAAGATGTGATGAATTTCCGGCAGAAGTGTTTATTAAAGAGTTTGAGAAAAAGGAAGAATTTCAAGACCCATTCGGCGAAGAGGAAGTATTCACAGAATTGAAAACCCGCGCGCCTGTAAATGACGACGATAAAAGCATAAGTGAAGATTTAAATTTACCAATGGATACCGAAGATACTGATGATGAAGACGAGGAAGTTTGTACAAAAAATAAAACTAATAATGACAGTGTAGAGTCAGAAGATTCTACCGAAATAGCCAAAGAAACGGCACATATTTGTGGGATTTGTTTAATGAGTTTTCATCGTAGATGTAACTATTCGGTGCACGTAAAGAAAAAGCATAGTAAACACTTATGCCGGCATTGTCCAAGCTTATTTGATAGTAAACAAGTTTTAAAGGAACATATGAAAGACCATCGACAATTATTCCCCTGCCCGCACTGCGATCGCAAATTCGTAACAAAGGAATACGTATCGCAACACATAAAGTTTATACATGATGACGAACGTCCATTTATTTGCGAAACATGCGGTGATGCCGTCCGCACGAAGGGACAACTTAAAGAACACATGTTGACACACACGGACTATTCGCCCTTTGAATGCAAAGAATGTGGAAAATGCTTTAAGCAAAAACAACGTTTGAAGGTATTTATAAAAGTTGAACAATTAATAAAGCTTGATGACATAAAATGTGTATTTTTTTCAGAGACACATGCAGATACATGGTGACAAACATATTTGTACAGAATGCGGCAAACAACTGAGCACGCGCGCTACACTAAATAGTCACCTACTCGTCCATTCGGACAAGATGCCACACAAATGTGATTATTGTGGACGACTTTTCAAACGTGCTAAAACGCTTAAAAATCATTTAATTGCACATACTGGCCTTCGACCGTATTCATGTGACTTTTGTGACAAAACATTTTCGACAGGACCAAGTTGTCGTTTTCACAAAAAAACTATGCATCCAGTTGAATTGGCTGCTCTGGAGGCGTCAGGCGTGAAAACATATACAAAAAATATACCAAATTTAGATGTGTTAAAGGCCGTGTAAGTATATTTTTGAAAAATTATTTATACCCTGACCAAATTCATGCAAAGTAAAAGTTTAAAATCAAGTCGTTGAATTCAAACTTTAATAAATCTAAGACAACCGTACAATCTCCAATAAATTAATCATACAGATCACTATAGCATGGAAGCTATATGCTGAATGAATATTGATCAATCAAAATGGAATTCTATTGGAAACCTTTTTATTTTACAAATTATCCTCGCAAGAATTTACGATTATTGTCCAAGGCAACGAAATAGCATATCTGACCAGTCAAAATCAAGTTTTTATATGTTTTTGTCCTGTTTATTAGTGAAGGGTATTATAGGTTAAGGTTTTTTTTTGTTTTGTTTAGATTATGTTATTCATAATTACGATTTTGTTTTTAGATCGCGAACTGCGGAAAACCTCACGCCTCTGGCATCCAAACAAAATGGTTATGCAACATTTGACAGAAAAAAAGAACCGCTTAAAGAGGATGTAGAAGCAAAACCAAACGAAGCAGTTATGGCAGTCGATGCATAAAAATTGAGGAACAGCGGCAATTTATTTAAAAGTAGAGACATCAATTTTGGAAAGTTGATTTTCTTTAAAAATGACAGTCCCAAGAAAAACTATTTATGCATTTGTATGTGAAAC